TATTTCATATATTTCCTAATAATTAATATGAATTAATTATTGGAGATATCAGATGATATATTTTTTCTTTCATATCATTTTCTTTTTATTATTTTTTCTATTGTAGGATTCTTGTAAGGGTTATTTATACCTTCGTTCATATCAATGAAACGATTAATTATTATGCTTTATTCCACATTATTCTGACTTTCAACATGGTATCAGAGAAAGGTTTCGTACCCTAGTCACCGATCTTCCTTTGAGAATTGTCGGATTCTCTTCTTGTCATCTCTATGTAGGAAGGGAGGGACACTCATCTTGGTATTTGAAACAATGATTTTTTCTCCTTCTCTCCCTGTAAGCTTTGTCTGTTGGCTGACCCTTCCTGAACCGAGAGCTTCGATTTTGTTGACCTACCGAAAATCTATAGTCGGCATCACCGCAGTCGAGATAGAACATGTTGTGTTTGTTGCGTGATGCGTCCGCAGGAGCCAAACAAATCGAAAAGAAGGGGGTTGTGACAGGGGATCCAGCCAGAGCGACACCAGCGATGCCGCCACCCGCCTCATCATCATCTCGTCGGAGATATCGTTGTCGTGGATTGAACAATGCAGGAAAAATCCATCGTTGACCCTTCCTCCTGCAGTATTTTTTTTCTTCCCTACCAAAGCGTCATGGGGAGCTGCGTTTCCAACCGGCCATCTATCATGCAGTATTTTTTTCTTCCCTGCCCAAGCGTCAGGGGGAGCTGCGTTTCCAGCGGCCATTTTCCTGCAGTATTTTCTTCTTCCCTGACCCAAGCGCCAGGAGGAGCTATGTTTCCAGCCGCCCTTTCTTTTGTTGTTTTCTCTGTTAGCAGAATTTACTGTGTGAGCTTTACATATTTTTTCTTATGCAATCAACGTCAACCGCGATCAACTAAAAGTCAGTTTTCCCGTAGGTTATCTCTTTCTCTGCAAGACTCAAAATTCAGCCAAGCCTGAATCCAGTAAATTCAGCCAAGTTTGAATCTCTCTTCTATGCCGAAACATTTTGCAGACAAAACTCAAAATTCAGTCAAGTCTGAATCCAGCGAATTCAATCAAGCTTGAATATCTGTTCTACGCCGAAACATATGGTAGACAAAACTCAAAATTCAGCCAAGCCTGAACCTAGCAAATTCGATAATTTAAACGACCAATTTTTCTTCACTACTCAGCGAGTTAGGAATTATTAACATACATTCCAAACTTAAAGGGGAGTGTTAAGAATTATAATAGAAAATAATTTATTCCTATAAGAAGTTATTTCCTTGGAGATATTTCCTTTTCTATTTTATATATATTTCCTTGGATTAGGAATCATTTGTTTTACGATTTTATGTTATTTCATATATCTCCTAATAATTAATATGAATTAATTATTGGAGATATCA